AAACAAAACAAAACAAAACAAAACAAAACAAAACAAAACCAAACCCTGATTTCATGTTCCATAACCCATAATTTAAAAAGGAAAGGAGGGGAAACACTGGCAACCAAAAACCCTGGATGATCCTGAAATGTGGCATCCATATGTGGCTTTTAGAGTCAAGTTGCAGGCACATGCTCAGCCACCAGGACATACTCCTCAATCTCTTCACTTGCAGCCTGGCCTCTGTCAGCAACCAAAACAGGGCTGGCTGCTGGCCATTTGTGCAACACCAGGAGATGCCTGCATTCTTTCTACTCCTTTATCTGCAAAGTTGACCCAGCCATACTTAGTGAGTGCCCAGTTACAGACCACTGTAAAATCAAGCCATGATGGCTCTGGAACCAGCCAGAGTGAAAGGCTAGGAAATCAGCTGTGCAGGGCACTTGGGAAACCATGAGCCACCCTCAGGTAGAAATAAGAAGACACTTAGGAACCTCTCATCTTCTCCAAAGGCCCAAATGAGCAAGGAAACCTCATGGGTGCCCCAGTAGACAAGTGCTCCAAGCTCAAGGACTACAGGGTGACAGATGATGTTCGTATTTTGGTAAACTATCCTCTTACCCATGGTGTCACCTCCCTGCTATATAACAGGGCTTGGAAAGACGGGAATGGATACTTACCAAAACCCAGGAGTAGGAGTGGCCTCATTTTCAGCCAATAGGGGAATCCCCACAGAGGCCCTCACCTGGGACAGAACAAAGCAGCTTGGATTAAAAAAATCCATAAAACCTCTGGGGCATACTAGCCCCCTTTACCTAGGGTCTTGACCTAGGATACTTCCGAGCAGCAGGTACATTTGTAGCCAAAAGCTTGGAAAATGTCAGAGCCCTGAACCCATGTCTGAGCTGGCGTGTGTCTCACAGCATAACCTGGGAAAATGCCATCACCTCACAGACTTCGTCTTCCCCCCCTGAGATGGAAGGGAAAGAGGCTTGGCCCTACCCTGCCCACACAATCGTGGGGAGCAGAAAAGGGCTGGGCCCTTTGCAGAAGAGGAGCTATAGAGGCCTTGTTACTACTCCAAGAAACAGAGTTGGCCTTTCTCAGGGCTTGGCCCAACATCCAGGCCCAAAGGTGAGTGGGTCAAAGTGACTGAGGGCCTGGAAGCGAGCTCTCTCTGCCACTGCCATGGTCTCTAGTACCACCCAGGCCACCCTAAGGGTGAGACTGTGGTGGCCACAATTCTGGGCTAAGCAGGTAGCTGGGATGTGATGGGAAGAAAGGGGAGCCTGGCAGAATTTAAAAAGTGAATGACGATTTCATCTGAACTGAAAGCAACTCAAAATGTCTTCCATTTTGGCCCGGGCGTGCAGGAGGGAGTCCCCAGAATGGGGATTCTGGAGGCTGAGGCTGGATACTCAAAGGGTCCCTCCGGGGGACAGGCAGGCCTACTGTGCTGAGGCAAGTCCCACCCCAGCTCAGGCAGTGTCCAACTCTGTCTTCGTTTGGATGTGTGCCCTGCTCCAGTGACAGCCACAAACTCCCTTGGCTGGGGTGGAAGGATGAGGCGGGGGGTGGGGGTGCGTGCAGGACAAGGCATGACCACAGAGGAACCTGGGGACGCTCCTGGAATCTTTAAATCATACATCCTAATTCATCAAAATTGTTTTCCAATCCCTCCCAGAAGATTCAGGGGCCCCAGGAGGAGATGGGTGGCCTGATGTTGCGCAGCTAATCATGGCCTAAGAGAAGACCCGTTTTTTGGTTTTTCATCCAGTGCTATCTCTGTGCTTCCACTCCCGGGCTAGAATCTTCCACGACTAGGCATCTGAGTGGCCCTTGGAAGAGCTCTAGCTGGGCCAGCCCACACTTTCTACTACTCTTTGTGCTCAGCCCCGATCTGAAGCTGCTTTTTTATGTCACCGAGACTCTTATCAGATGTGAAAAAGCAGCCCAAACAATGGCAGACATTTAACCTAGCCTTTGGAGGTGAGCTTGCTTGCTTGGGTGAGCTCCCAGGAAGGACTGAATCAGGCCCTGTAGTCAGGCCCCAGACACCCAGAGATACAGACAGCCCTTCCCCCCTTCGTCTGGCCCTCACCGGGCAGGTGAAGGCAGGTGAAGACAGGTAACATACCTTGCTCCGTGCTGCTTGCTCTTCTTTCTCCAGATGGCCTCTGAGAGCACCCCTTGAATGTGGGGGCTCCTCTCCTGGCTCCCAGTTTTTAAAGAACGGCCTCACCTCTGGAGACTCCCTGGCTGGGCGTAGCCCACTGCAGGGCGGGCCTCAGGAATCTGGCAGCTGGCACGCCCATCTGCCGTCACAGCACCCCCACCCCCCCAGGACAGGACTGGGCAAGTGGGTCGGTCTCAGAGGCCTCACAGCGAGCTCATCAGTCCCTGGCTGCCCATGGGTGTCCTGGGTGGGGGTGGTTGAAGGGAGCCACTGCAAACAGAAAGCACCAGACAAATGTCAGTGACTCCAGGGGGGCAGGGAACGGCACTCACATTGTGATAGACACCACACTTGGCACTTTCCCAAGGCCTATAGGGGTCAGCTTCCTCTTGTGTCCTGGACCACCCTGGACAGAAGACCAAGCAGAGGACACAAAGGTCAGGGCTGTTATACAGGGTATTATTGCCCAGACCTGTCACTGGGCTACAAGGGGAGGAGAACTAAACATCCAGGACCCTGGAAAGCACCAGACCCCTCCCAAGGAGGGGGGAGGGGAAGTGGAAAAACCCTACTTCGTGGGGAATTTGCAGACCCTTTAGGTTCATCAGGAAGGGGTCAAAGCCCAAGGAAAGCTTAAGGGGAATAAACAGGAATAAACTCTAAATGCCTACCCTCCGGCTCCCTCTGCAGGTTGGCAGGGAGCCCCAGGACAGGTAACTACCTGTGAGTCACTGCCCCCAGCTCAGTAAGGGCTGGTCTCGGGGCCCCACCCTTCCAGGGCAGGAATGCCAGCCTGCAGGGCCAGAAAACAGACCTGACCACAAGTGGTGGAAGGAAAGGTTAACCACAACTAGACCCACTTCCCCTGTCTGCCCCCTCCCCCGACCAGGCCTGAGAACACAGCTTCCTTTGTGGGATTCTGGGTGCACACTTGCCTTAGGGTCCCTAGGCTGAGAGCCACTGTAAATGGCAGTAACAGACCCAAATGGAAAGGCTGGTCTCAGAGGACACTCATCCCCCAGGTTAGGGTCAGAGAGGGCTTTTAGAGAGATCTGGAAGGTCACCCAGTCCATATCTTGGCACTGTTGAACTGGCATTGTCTTGGAACACCACTCGCTGCCTCAAAGTTTCTATTTAAAGGAGACTCTTAACTATCCAGTCCAGTCTGTCAGTGTCTCCTAAGCAAGAAGTTCTCTACAGTTTGAGGGGTAAGTCCAAGAAATTGGTTGGAGAACCCTTAAGGGGAAAATGTAGAATTTTGTGGATTAAACCAGGCGTTTCTAATCTTAGGTTCTAATTTAGTCCAGTAAGCTTAGGTGGGCATGGGAAGTACTATAATTAGCAAATGGGCAATAAGTTATTTACACACATAACAAACACTCCAATAAATGTTAGTGTCTTGACCCCTGTAAGAATTCCAGTGAAATCTGGTTTAACTCAACAAGCCAGAGTCAGTACGAACAGCTCCCCTACATGGGCCAGCCTCTGCAACAAGAACACAGAGAGACCCCCATCACATCCTCCAGAGAAAGGTCACTGCTGACACCCACCCCACCTCCTGGGGCTTAGAGTCCACCCGCCTAGTCTGTGTCTCCCCACTTCTCCAGCTCCCTGAACTCTAAGCTTCCAGGAAGTCTTCACCCTCCTGGAACTGCCCCATCCCTTGCCCACCACCAGGAAAGAGGATGTGACAAAGAACTCGTTAATAGTTAACCAGCAGAAGGAGCCGGTGTGGCAATCCCAGACTGTCAGACGAGGTGGGGCAGGTGTGTGGTGGGCCGCACATTGAGTGGCTGGGGCCCTTCAAATCCCCCTCCTTCTCCTCCCTTATGAGGCCAGGAGCCCGGGTAAATAAGCCGTTAGTGTTTCAGACTTCACAGGCTGGGGCAGGCCCCAGGAGTGGTTTCGCTTCACAGAGGGAAATGGCAATTGCTCCGTTTGGGCACCCCCCACACTCTGGGCCAAATCCAGGACAATGTTTCTGCAGACCCCCAGGGTAGGCTTGTCAGCCTCACTCCTCAGGGATACTGAGCACTCTCCAAAAGGGATCTAGAACCCTCAGGATGGCAGGGTCCCAGGCACAGGCTTTGAACTTCAGAACCCAATTTGTTCAGAGACAAGAAGCCTAAAATAGAGCCAGAGGCTGGGTTAGGACCTGGCCAGGGTTAAAGGGCAGGTGGGGGCAACACTACAATGCCCCAGCCTCCCTTCTGTGTACTCTTCCCTCTCTAACTGCTTCCCATCATCTCGTTCTGGAGCCCTCAGCACCACCACCCTCCCACCAGCCCTGGCTCATTAGAACTTGAGCTTAGGGAAATGGCTACTCAAGTTATCCTTGACTCCGGTGTCTCTTGCACCCACATCATCCTATCAGGAAATGCTGTTAGCTCCCCTTCCAAAGGCAAACAGAACCAATCACGTCCACCCTCTTGGCCTGAGCCTCTCTTCCTCAGACTTCTGCAAATCCTCGAACTTTCCTCTTCTTCCTCCCAACTGGTCTTTAGAAGACCCTCTTCTGAACCGACCCTCTTCTGTTCAGAACCCTGCACTAGCTCCCCATTATGGTCAGGGTCAAAGCCAAAGCCCTTAGAGACATCTGCGAGCCCCTACATGATCCAAACACCCCCATTATTCCTCTGTCTCTACTGATACTGCCCCTCACTCCTTTCACCCCAGGGGCATGGCCTCCTAACTGTGCCTCCAAACCACCAGGCTGCTTCCATCCTAGGACTCTGCTGCCTTGCCTGGGTGCTTCCTCCCCATGGAACACCATCCCCTGGGTGTGTACAAGGCTAACTGGCCTACCTCTTTCAAGTCTTTGTTCAAATGTTACTTTCTAAATGACTCTGACCACCCTATTTAAAATGACAAGCAATTTCCCTGCCCAATCCCTGTCCCCAGCCCCCAGCACTCCCAACCCCACCTATCCTACATTATTGGTGGGCTGGGTCTTTCTGGTTGTGGTGTGCAACACTTACCAGCTTTCCACCAACTATATAGCTCACCTATTAATCACGTTTATTTTCTGACTCCTTCCACCAGAATGACATGTTCAAGAAGGCAGAAATTTTTGTCCCTTTTGTTCACTACTGTTTTCCAAGTGCCTTGAAATAGTGCTTGGCACCTAGCAAGCGCTCACTCTTTGTGGAACGAACAGGTTCACACCAAAGTGTAAATAAGGGATATAGTTTAAGGAGTCCCCATGCACTGTGGGTGTATTTGCGTTCTCAGAGGGGACAGTCTGGGCCTCTAGTCACCGGAATGGACAGCTTATAGTGGAAATTCCTGTGGCAGTCAACTGCAGAGAGGGGGGTCTTTCTGGAGGCACCTACCCCCAGATTACATAAATGTCACCATGTTGATGTAGGCAGCATCCTGTGTGCTTATCAGTCATTCCTGGCAATGTCTCTGACAGGGTGTGGGGGTGGCATTAGAATCTCCAGTCTCCATTATCCATCTGTCAGGCTCAACCCATCCAAATTGTCAGGGAGATCAGCCAAGATCTGATCCATGAGAGATCAAGGGATAGGGA